TTCAATGCCGATTTCGTGACTGTGATAGATGGCGTGAACTGCAATCGCCGACTTGGATTGTAGGTTCTCTAGTCGCAGAGGATTATTTGGTGATAGTTTTCTGTAGCTTGCATGTTCTTTAGCTATAATGAAGGTTTCACGGGATGATTCTTCAATACAACAGGCACCATAGTCGACAGAGCCTAATTTTAGACACAATTTTGAGTAGAAGTAAAAGCAACTTTGCCTTTTAAGTGGACTGAAGCACTCCTGAGAGTGTTGGTTGTCCTGTAAAAGGTCCTAATTCAGTGCTTTCTTAAGATTCTTTGAAGCTCTTCAGTTTTAACTTGACGGAATGGTAGAACTACTGTGCCAATCCAAGAATCGTCATTTGAATATGTTTCAACCTGGAAACGTATCTTGAATGCCTAAGGAATTTAGACGGCACAATTAAACTCCTCTTTACCTTTGAACTGCATGGTGCTATCTTTTTTACATCCAACCAAATAGAAAACCACCCTCTGAAAACTTCCAAATGCTGGTGAATCAAAACATTTGAAGGAATGGAAGCGTTAAAAGAAGGTAAGAAAACCTCATCAGATAAAGACGAATCTATCAATTTGAAAGTTGTCCATAATTTATGCAACAGAAACCTGTCAGAATGGGAGATCATACTTTTGAGAAAAAGTCTGAACGTCAACTTCAACAGAAAACCACTCAGCACCCTAAAAGTGGCGCCCATCATCGAATCGGTGATCGAAAAACTACCAGATAAAGACGCTCACATCGTACATCATGAAGCTTCCCATATTCTACAAAAAAAGTATATATGCGGTCTAAAATTTCAAAGTAAAAAAGACCAGCCTTCCTCAACCTTCAAGTGGATAAAACACTCGTGATTACCAGGGCGGATAAAGGAAATGTAACTGTGATGATGGACAAAACTGACCACTACCGTGAAGAATATGAGCATCTTTCAACCTGTCGTCATTAAGAATCCAAAAAGTGACAAGCAACGAAGAACACGATGAAGACAGAAACCTGTCGGTTTTTAAAGGGCCTGGAACTTTTCACCGGAGACTCATTATCGCTCCCTCCATATCCAAAATCATGCGCTTCACCATGTTTCTACGGGTTACCGAAAATTCATAAACCCAATGTCCCTCTGAGACCAACAGTAGATTTTAAAAATTCTCCAACATTTGCCTATCTAAATATCCAGCATCATTATTAAAACCTCTCTAATGCTCTATTATCAGCTCGATTAAAGACTTATGAATTCAGTTCAGGAATATCGGAATTATTTGTTGCAGAGAATGAAAAAACGGATGTAACAAGAGGTTCATCCAGTTGGACCAACGTGTCAAGCGGCTTTCCGACTGAGAAAGGGAAATGGCAAAGCCCTTAGTATGAAGGCGGGCAGATGACACAGAAGTGATAGACCGTATAGAAAAAAATAACCGCAAGCGACCTGCATAATTTGCGTGTGGTCAGGATTAAATGCAGGCTGTCCCACAGCCTTGCAGCATTTACAGGCCATGTAACGGTAACCCTTGTTTTTCTGCGCAGTGCCAGGTAGAACAATACCAAGAGTCCGTTGAGGTAATATGCATGGAAGCAACTTAGAACACCGAAGACGTCGGGTAGGTAGAGTTAACCGCTGTTATACGGATTTTGGTTTTCTTGCGCCAGTTTATCTTAACCGACAATTTTGGAAGGGGCCAAACGGTGTACTGTGTATGGACGAAGCAAGAGCCTGTGAATAATCTTATTTGAACTTTGGGCTCATTCAAAGAATAAGTGGGTGACACATCAAAAACCGAGACGTTTATAATGAACTCAGCACGAAGTGAAATATCAGCCGTAGAACCAATGCATAGTCGGGCTTCTGTACGATTATATGCACTTCATGTGCGCAGAGCCCTCAGTAAAAAGGCAAGAAAACGTGAATTGTACACTGTTATCAGGTAGAACTGCAACCTCTTGCAGAGAAATGCCCGTATCATTTCGTCTCAGTTCGTCCGCTGCGGCTATAAACAGTATACAAAAGTGCAGAGGAATACCCACAACTTTATCTACAATGGAATTTCACTATTATTTATTGGGCCACTAAGAGCGATTCAAAGCATTATGGTGACTACGGTGGGTATATGTTCAGTTTAGCGTGAAAACACAAAAGCAGAATTTTTCATCAGGGAGGTGATATATGGTCATCGCTATTCTTTATTGTTGCATGTATAACATGACGTTTCAATGGACCTAGAGATGCATTTTTGCTCAATAATACATAGAATCTGCTGTGGTACTTCCTTCTATGCACGAGATATTTCAAGTGAAAACACTTGAGTAGTTTTGCCAGGATTACTTTTTCTTTAGGATGAAGTTTTTGAATCGTTTCCCCTTTTTTCTCGAATGATGCATTTACACATTCATTAACCATGACTTCCATTTCTGCCAGATAGCCTAAGAACAACAAAATTTCAACGTTTAGCTCAAAGCGCACTATTTGGGTGTGATGTAAAATCTTCTCTATTCCAGACCGATGATTTCCACTACGTTGGATGAAAAGGAGATAGTAAGAAATATTACTGAAGATTTTTCAACTCCAAATGTTTTAACGTCTCCGTAAAAAGGATATTCACCTATAAATTCAAGAAAGAATTATCATTATTGTGTTTATGATAGGCAGGGACGTGGCAACCACATGCTGAGCATTTTACTGCCAAAAAAGCATAATGCGAAGGCATACGAAAAAGCGGATTACATGGGAACCGACTACCCACGTGTGCCATGCACTTCCTGCCAGCAACAATCCAGGAACATGATACTGCCATACATGTCACGAAGAAAATTTGCGACTTGGCTCCCCTTAATCTCATAACATCCATTTACACTTGACAGCATAACATACAGCAGCAGTAGCTTTTCTGCATCGCTTCGAAGCACATGAGTTCAACCTCGTCTCTTTTCTCCTATCAGGCCCCAAAATCCTTCAATTACAGTCTGAAGGCTTACAACAGGAAAATACGACCTGTGTAGCTGACAGTTCTGACTTTTGCTTACGGAACACCTTTCAAAATGTATCTTTCTTTTAAAAGACGTGAATTTTTTAATTTCTTCAGTGGGACCTCAATCGCAAGGACTTTCTGAGACTGCTCAAGCTTTCGGATTACATCCCACAGCTACGCGTGACCAGTAGTACACCGACTGGGTCAGCCTACCACCACATGAAAAATTAACCCTAACATCCCGATAGTCAATAGGTCAGAAAGCCCTAAATACTTGCTAAAAACACTCGTTAGTCGACTAGTGGCGAAGAAGCTAGGCAGTTAACCTGGTAGCCAAAAACCTTAATTTTCCCTCTTAAGACGCAGAAGACAGACTTACACAAAACCATGGGATTCTGTTGCTTAATCACATGGGCTGTTAACGATATATGGAAGGCAGCTGTGATTTACGTCTCCTATTGCCCATTTGTCTGGAAATCTGATTGTTACGGCTCCCGTTCAGCAACACTAGTGGAGGTCAAAACATAACGGGTATTCCAAGGACAATCCCAAACCGCCTCCTTCATCCCGTGTATCTTAATGTTGGTCAAACCACCTGTAAAACAGAAAAAAAAATAATCCGGAAACGACCGTCATTTCGGTTTGGATACAGCTTGATGAAGTTCAGGAAAGTTCCACACGGAATGATGCAGTGAGGCTCAAGGCAAGGTTTGGGTTGGGGGTAGTGCAAACGTGGAAGACCGAAGTGTAGCATACTCTACTGTGTGACAAACGCATTTATACGCAAACCATTCTTGAAATACAGCGCATGTAGCGATGAAAATTCGTTGGCAATAACACAATTATTACCATGGACAAAGTAAACGTTCTAGTTGCAATCATCCCAGACACTACCACTAACTTAACCGTCATACATAATTAATTCTTGTTAAGTATATTATTATAGTCTTCATAGAAGAATTACAAGCCTTCCTTAGAATAAGGTATGGCATTTAAGGAACCACTTAGACTGCGTGATACATCTCGGCACTCTTCGGTATCTATGGGCTGGACTCAAAAGTCCTTCAAGGGGGAAGTAGCAGTAAGTTAGAATTCAAGGGTTAATAGACCCAAGGTTATGAAATCATGAAACTTGTGAGACGAATTACGAAGGATTTCCCCTGGAGAACGCGCACTTTGTTTAAACGTCCACAATACCACTGTACTTATGGAGAGTGAGGCAAAATGCTGTGGAAGTGGAGATTTAATGCAACATTTTACCTAAAATTCTACCTAGGCCTTATACTACTTTCACCGATAAATTCGTCGCATCGGCTGCAGATTTTCTTCCGGCACTTGATACTTTAATTCACATTGCCTATGAGGTAGAAGCACATTGGATGGATATAAGTTTCACGTTTTCACAACTTAGAAAACATCTAGTTGGATCAGGCTTTTTCATAGATATGCTTTCTGTAAATACTTGTACAATAAGGGCAAGGAAATTAAATGAACGCCGAAATAAGACTAGTTTAGCAGCATAAAGAGGGCTTTAAACGTCGTAACTGGGGTGACATTTCATCAGAATACCCTTCCCACCCACATCACTCTTCCCCCGTATTCTCTGTACAAGCAGCTGCTTTACCGCGCACCACTGGTGGTGGTAACTCCATGTTAAACAACAAGCATCTACACTACTTAAGAGATGCAATCACCTCAAAAATTATTCAACATACGACATGACTTCGAAAACGCATAACCTAATCATTCATTCCTCTCAACCATACTTGGTAGCGAAGCTGCCAATCGCAGACGGCATTTAAAACTAAAAGTGTAAGGCTAAGCGTGTAGAGTTTCGTTTTAAAATGTTGAATATATCAGATCTTCATACATTTAACAGCATGAATCAGCCGTTTTGGCTTTGGAACAAATTAGTCCTTGGGACATATTTCAGATTGAGTTTTCAAGAAGTGACCCTCTAGGTCACAGCGCTACATTCACAGTTCATTTCATCTATCCGCTGCAACTGTCACGTGTTACCATTATAAGTTATCCAGGTAGTTTCACTCTTCACAAACTATCCATTTATTGAACTTATAAGAGACCTATTAACAAAATGAACAACTAAATCCTCTTTATTGAACTGTTCGTATGTGGGTGTCTCGAATGAATGACATTGCATATCCATGGATTCTTTTTCTTCTTTCTCAGAAGTCATGGTATGATGAAATCGCAAGGTTTCATTCTCTATAGGTGACTCGTCCAATCATCTGTTCATTTTATATAGGTTCGAACGGCACTTAAGGTGAACCACTTGAGAGTGCATACGTTTGGCAGAACAAAAGTGAATTATGAAGCATATGCATATGAATATTCATTCAGTACGCTCTTTGATGCACTCATAAACGAGCATCTCTTGCAAGAAAATGGTACTGTGGTCGACTACGCACCTCTACACGGAAGAAGTGACAAAATCCTTACCAATTTTAGGGGCTGACAAGACATATTACTTAATTCCAAGTCAGTTAGCAATCCCCATAATGTAATAAGCCTGACAAAATTAGCGACTATGTCCTCTTTCGTTGCTAGCGCTGATTGTCTCCTGTTTCGTGAAAACATTTCTAAGTTTTGTACAAAAAAGGGAGAGTTAAAACACAACATCCGACTCCATGACTTCGGAGACCAATGCTGAAAATATCACTTTAATCTCAGACCACGAAAAATATCGTCGGCTGCAATTATAAGTCGCCCAGAGAATAAACGTTTTAAACTCAAAATCCCACATCATCATTCGCATAGTAATCAGTGAGAGAATCCACCTCACCCCAGATTGCCGAAAACTAGTAGATAACACACTTACTTCTGTCCACTCCTTTCAACAGCAGCCAGACTTTGCAGTCTTATGCAATATATCCTCATTTGTAATTCAACGCGGTACTAAACGACAAATAAAAGTGGCCAAACACTGAATTTTGGCAACAAATCGACTTCCAGATGCTTTCCAGTCTGGATTATGCTACTTCACACTCTATTCTCTGATCCCAACCCAAAGTAGTTCTCAAACTAATTGCTACATCTTGAGAGCTTTAGCATAACTCGTAAACAGTCCTGTGCTGAGACGTTCGTGCCTTTCAGGTGGGTTACCGCGGTTCACCAACTCTTAATATTCGCCTGGCGTGACTCAGCAAGTCGGCTTTGAAATGCCATCGTTTACCACACGACGTGCGACACTTCACACAAACAGTAGTTGGATTGCATTCTGTAGTGCTTGAATGTGTTGGGCGTGCAAAGAGCGCGAGTCACTAGGTGAATTGACTTACTTGGCGAGATTGTTGCGTTCGTTAGACAGACGGTGTCATTCAAGGGCAGAAGCAAGGCTAATGCAGTGCCACAACCTACCCTGTCACCTCTCGACTTACCACACCAGAATAAACAGATATGTTACATTCACAAATTATTCGTCTTTGGAATTCTTGATGAGTGGGAAGTGTTAGCTGTTAAGGCATCGATTGGTCACGCATTTCGATTCATCATTTCATATGATGTGAATTACATATCTTTGCTCCGAACGGCTTTTTAAAAAGCTTTAGATTCAGACTGCATTGCTCGCATTGCTACTTTCTTCCTCGATATTGCTTGAAAATCGGAAATTTTGTGGAGATTTTGCATAAAACCATACTTTTTTCTCTTCAATATGTATGCCTCAATTCTATATTGGATTGTCCATTTGATAAAGCATATAGGTAAACCATTGGAAGGTGATTATTGCTCACACTTCTCTACACGGCTCTGGAGGAATCGTTAGAGACTTCATGAACTGTTATCACGTCTTGTCCTGGTTGCCGAAACCGTTGATCTAACCCCATCCTACTGTAACAAACAATACACGTTGAGGTGGGCGATGTCTCAGCATGTGCAATACACGTCCAAGCCACTTCAGTTGGTCAAGGTTCAAAACCCCAGTGCTTGACTTGCTCATACGGCGATTCCACCAGAGGCAAGCACTCCTAAGACGACAATTAGGGTCAAAAACCTAGCTCTTCAAATCTTCAGCATTGTAATAAGGTGGGGCGGATTGTATTGCATTCTAGTCGTCGTTGAATAGTTAGTCAGGCGCCTCACCGGAGCCAGGAATTGCGAAGTTTGAAAAATGGTCAGCGGGTTTTTTATACCCTGATAGTGACTGGGCGACCACCCTATTCTCTCAATGCAAATTCTCAAGTGGATGGAGTGGTCAGCGCATTACATCACTTCATTCGCCAACCTTAGACTAGGAGTCACTACATATCTGTCCTAAAGTATTATCTTACGTTCTGCAGCCAAACACATCCAGGTTTCTGCCGAAGACGTTCGGTAGGGTGAGTTTTGTCACCATCTTTGTCTAACAAAATGATATCTGCAAACTTCTGAGGACAACTGTGTGAAGGACCTTATGTTCCTGTTACTTCATGTAGAGGGCTGTGATTAGCATTACATGTTCAGCACCCCCTTCACTGTCAGACATTGCCACAACACCTCTGTCAACACAGTCGAATGCGTTTCTAAGTCAATAAATAAAACAAGTATCGGAGGCTGTTAAATATGCGTGAGTCCCAAAACCTGTTGATGAATGACAATCTTCTCGATACATCCAGATTTGAAACTTGGCCGGTTTTCGTGAATTTGTTTGCAGACGATGTATAGCTATGGATCCTAGGACTCTCTGGACATCATGTCAATTAAACTAGTCTCCCTATGGTCACTGAGTTGCATTATTATTAGTATTATTATTACTGACACTTATTATTGCTAACCGTTGCGTTACTTTTTGCTCTGAGATTATAGAATAAATTTATCATCCCTTGGGACATACCTTGACATAATTTTATGAAAAGCACAAGACTCAGTCGCCACACTCCATATTGATAGCGGGTTGGATACAGCTTTCCCAAATTCAAAGACAGTTGAAGGACCGACATCTACGTCCCATTCAGGTTCAGGCTGGATGTTGGGCAACTGAAGCGTTGCTGAGAGCTAGTTGAACTGTGCTTCAAAGTGTTCTGTTCAACGTTCTAGCCTCTTGTCCCTGGGGGTTATCAGCTTTCCATCCTTTCGGGTGATGGCCTCACTAACCATCATCTTGTCGGTATCCTTAATAAGCCTAAATAGTTGCCGTGTGTTACCCAATGCTGATACCTTCTCTGTCTCTCTCTTTTACGTAGCCCACCACTCCTCTCGATCGATGCGATCTCGACAACTTACGTCTGTGTTGTTTTCGCTCTTCACTGTGGTCAGAGCAAGCCGAAATCAGTCTTCTCGCATGACTGCACTGGGACTGACCAACTAGCTAAAGGTCGTCCGGTTGACTTGGAGTATGCAGGTGATATTATCTCACTAGGCGAAGACGCTGAAAAAATACGGGGTCTTTTTAACGCGTTAAGCAGAAATCTGAATATGTTTGACGTGCGTTTCGCACCTGCTAATTGTCAGATAATGATCCAAGACGGGTGTGCTGCAAGTACTCCCAGTTTACTTATTGAGAGTGAAGCCGTTGAATGTATCGACCAGTTCACCTACCTCGGAAGTTGCATCAGCCCAAATAGGCTGGTTGCTAACAAAATCTGAGGTTGGGTAGAGAGGACCCGTTCGGCATTCTCCAATGTGGGTAATCTATGGCCCCACTGGTGAGATATTCGACTATCTGTCAAAGGACGAGTAAACTACACTGCAGTTCGTTCTATCCTGTTACGCGGCTGTAAGGCATGGCAAAATAATCATACTCAAAAGGCTTCGTGTGACAGGCCTCAAGCAGATGTCCGATGGGCTCTGCGGTCACACAAATCTCTTTCAGGTACCTTAAGAAGAAATAGCCTTCCACGGTGTGGGCAGCCGGGAAGTGTCAACCGCCCTCACAACTCTGTCAGCACTCAAGTTTCTTCTGACTGCTATCCATCTCCTCCATCATTACCTTCTAATCTTCCTTCACGTCTCTTAATTAATGATGCTGCATCATCTTCAATTTCTCCTACCTCTGCAGCCTTCGACAACGATCTGAGTCCACAGAACAGCATCCCTGGTCTCCTTAAACCACGCTCCAAATTACATATTGGAGCCTTCAATGTCCGCACCCTCCGTCAAATTGGTCAACAGGCTTCGTTAGCAAAGACTCTAGCAACTCGGGCCATGGATGTGTGCTGTGTTTGTGAGACACGCATACAGGACCCAACCTTCTGATGAATCCGCAAAATTCACCCTTCGAGTTTCTGGAGATTCGATAGCTAGCTCTCGTGGTCTTGCAGGTGTAGGTATAGCATTAAGCACCAGGGCAGAAAACTCACTACTAGACTGGATCCCAGTTGATAGTCGCCTCTGCGCTATGAGGCTGAACGGCACAGTGAGAACTAAAAGGAATAGTGAGACTCGCCGTTGTCTCTTTGTAATCTCTGCTTACGCACCCACTGACTGCAGTTCGGATGAAGTGAAGGACGAGTTCTACCATAAACTGTCTAACCTCCTCTCGAAAGCCAAACGTTCGGACGTAGTGGTTGTTGCAGGTGACCTCAACGCACAGGTGGGTAGACTGAGTGAGGCAGAAAGGCACTTAGGTGGCACTTTCGGAATCCCAGCTGAACGTACAGATAACGGTGATCGCCTATTACAACTATGCTCAGATAACCGCCTATTTTTAGCCAGCACAAATTTCAGACATAAAGAAAGGCACTGTCTGACCTGGCGTCCACCGAGCTCGACTCAGCGATGGACACAGATAGACCACATTGCTATTAGTCATCGCTGGAGAGGATCGGTGGAAGACTGCCGCTCCTTCTGGAGTACGTGTTTGGACAGCGATCATGCGTTGGTCCGAGCACGTATATGCCTGCGTCTCAATGGACGTAGAAAAAATTTGGCAACAAAACCACTACGAGTTCTGCTGGACAACGAAAACACCAAAGCCGTGTTCAGTGAGAAGTTGGCTAGGCAGTTATCGGAACAAAAGACTGTCACTCATCCAGAAGAAGCTTGGTGCCATCTTCAGTCTAAAGCAGCACTGGAGACTGTAGCCGACTCCAAATAATGGCTAAAAAGAGCCAGTGGATATCAGCAGCTTCTTCCAAACTAATGGATGCACGTGAATGCATCCCTGCAGGCTCTGAGTACAATGAAGAGCGAGCGCAACTTAAAAATAACTGACGAAAAGTCTGCGCAACGATCGTGAACAGTGGTGGGCAGCAAAGGCTAAAGAGATGGAAAAGGCAGCGGCGATCGGTAACAGTAGACAGTTATTTAGACTTATTAAGGAGACTGGGGGGAAATGGTCAACAACAGTTAGTGAGGTTATAGCGGAGAAGGACGGATCTGCGATTCACTCGCAGGGAAGGCGACTGGGACGATGGGCAGAACACTTTGAGGAACAGTTTAACTGGCCTCCAGCCACCATTGCGCTGCCCGCTATCCAGTCGGACCCTGAATGGGACATAGAGACAGGCCCCCCAACACTAGAAGAAGTTGAGAAAGCGGTAGGTAGCCTGAAACGGGAAGGGCAGCAGGACCAGACGGACTACCTGCTGAGGTATACAAGAATGGTGGTAGAGTTCTCTTAGTCAGGCTAACGGAAGTGTTAGCCAGTATATGGGAATCAA